GGCTACAGTGCCATTGCACCAGCCTAGCTGACAGCAACCTCAAACTCCTAGGCTCAAGTGATCCTCCCACCTCAGCCTCCCTAGTAGCTGAGACTACAGGTGCGCACTACCACATTTGGCTAATTTTTTCTATTTTTAGTTTTCTAGCTAATTTTTTCTAATTTTAGTAGAGACAGGGTCTCACTTCTGCTCAGGCCAGTCTCAAACTCCTGACCACAAGTGATCCTCCTGTCTCAGCCTCCCAGAGTGCTAGGATTACAGGTGTGAGCCACCACCGCCAGTCTTTACTTTTAAGGCTGTTTTATGTTCTGTTTCTTTCACTTGCTAACATATTATGGACTTCTTTCAATACAATATATCCAATAGAGATCTACAGTGTTTTGTTTTGAGGCCTTCTAAAAATTATTTTTTTCTTTAACTAGGAACAAATTTTTAAAGGTACAAAAGGGTTTAACACAATGAAAAGTAAGTCGTCTTTTGTTACTTTCCCCCAACCACCACTTTTACTCCCTTGGCAACCACTATTACTAATTTCTTGTGTATTTATTCAGATTTTTAAAATGTATGTTTATATAGATACATTCTTTAAAAAAACATAAATGCTAGCATTCTATGCACATTTCTGCATTTAACTTTTTCACTCACATCTGGAAGATATTTCTATCACAGTACATATAATTGATCTCATTTTTTAAACAGCTGCAAATAATTCTAGTATATGAATGCATCATAATTGATCTAAGTAGTCTCCTGTGGATAGACATTTAATAATTATTTGCTATTAGAATCAATGGTGCCTTTATATATGTGCTTTTATGTACAAGTGCATGTATACATGTAGGATACATTTCTAGAAGTGGAATTGCTAGGTCAAAGGGTTTAACACATTTTAAAATTCCAACAGTAATTGCAAATTGCTTTTTACTGTGTCTGTGACAATTTATATGCCCACCAATGATACATGAAACTGATTCCACATACCTTACTGCAACAGTGTGCTCCTCACACTTCTTATCTTTGTTCAACTCTCAGGTCACAATGGGATTTCAATATGGTATTAATTTACATTTATCTTATTATGAGACAGGTTGAAGATCTTACCATATTTTAAGAACCATTTGCATTTCCTCTTCTGAGAACTATCTGTTCATGACATTTGCCTTTATTTTCCACTGGGCTTGTTATTCTTTTTCTTCTTGATTAGTGTCTGGTAGGATATTTATTCCTACACTTTTTTTTTTTACTTGGACTTTTGAATTAGCTTGTCTCCTTTTTTAAAAAAATCCTATTTTTATTGGACTGAGTTACCACATTCATGGTTTAAGGAAAATTGACATTTTTATGTCTTTTCCTATCTAATAAAAGGGCATGTCCTTCCATTTATTCAAGACATAAGGTGGATTTAAACAGGTACATTTAAAAAAGGTGGCGACTTGTGGAGTCCAAACTCAGAAGGGAAAGAATGAAAGCAGGAAGACTGATGAAGTGGTCCTGAGTGGTCCAGGAAAGAGGTGATGGAGCTCAGACCAGGCTGAGGGGCATGGGCAGGTCTGAGATCTGTCCTGGAGGCAGAGCCAACAGAGATTTGCTCATGGATCAGATGTGCAAGTAAATGAAAGGGAGAGTAAGGATGCTACCTAGGTTTTCCGCTTCAGCAATGAGTAGAGGGGTAAGTCCCTAAACCTCAAGCTCCAGGGAGGCTGCCCACAGCAGCTCTTTCAGTGGAGACACAACCAGCTAATATCAGCTGTGATGCTAATCAGGACCTCCACCAGGTTCCACGTGGAACCTTTGTGTGAATTTAAAAATGGTGCCCCTTCTGGGAAGACAGAGGCCCAAAAGTGCACTTGGTGAGGGGTGTGTGTGCTGGATTTTAGCTCCTACTCAGTCTCTTGACTGCATGTTTTTGTGCCATGAGCAACCTGCACACCCATGCCTGGAAGCTTTGATACTAATCTCTGACCAGGGTTTCTTACTCACCCACTCCTATAAAGTATTACTCTGCTCCCTAACCCTACACAGCACTGGGATCTGACTCTCTTGTTCTCCTCCTCAGCTAGATCATTGTCTCCTCCTATTTAGAGACCTACCAGTCACTGTGAATCTAACTGCTGCCTGGTTATGCATTCCACCAGTTGCCTTACCTATCCTAAACCTTGAAGGTAGTTTGTAGAACAAAACATGAGCCTTTCAGTTATCTTGGTTACTATAAGTCTCAGAATTTTTCTATAAACTGTTCCTACTGCCCAACTTGAAAATAGCTTGGTCTACTTGAAAAAGGACTGGTTAGCTGCACAGAACAAGTTTTAAGTTGCATCTTAAAGATAATTGGCTTTAAGTAAACCATTCTGGTTCTGAATCATCCGTTTAGCACCCTGACTTTGATCCCAGCCTCCTGCCCCTGGGTCACCCACTGGTCTAGGCGACACTTCTCCAAAGAGTCTTGAGCTTATTCCTCCTCAAAGGCCAGGGAGACAGAGGATTCTGGAAAAAATCTGTGTTCAGTGTACTATTTCTTGTTCTTTTCTTGCCCCTTCTGCATGAACACAACAAACTATAAAATAATTACTAATTCCTACGACTGATTGGCTACCCCCACCCCAGGTGTTTTCCCTTCCTTAATCTCCTTCCATTGAGTCTTAGCAAGGGGACTTCTCAGGTGCCAACAGTCCTCGCCAGGGCCAATGTTTCACTGCTTGGTAACTGGTAATTCCCCGCTTCAGGTGCATCGCCCCTCCCACCCCGCCCCTCCCCGCCGGGCTAAGATGTAGGCAGTTGAGGCACTTGTGCCCAGCCCAACTATAAATCAACTGACTTTCAATTAATCGTTTCTCCCCGTACCCACAAGGAACAACAATAATAACTGAGGCAAGAAAGTAAAGCCACAACCTGAAAGAAGAAAAACACGTGGCCCCTGTCTGATCTGCGGACAGCTAAGAGCCGTCGCTGTGCACACAGGCGACAGCGAGATTGCCAGGGCTCAATTGGTTCTTGCTCATCCTAAGACTCTGCTAAGGGATTGCACTATGGGCAGCCCTGCCCTCAGACACTCTCCGTCCTTGTATCAAAGCCTCAGGGAAATAGAACGATGCTCATCTTTCTAGAGCAGGGGTCCTCAAACTTTTTAAACGGGGGTAAGTTGGAGGGCTGTTGGAAAGTGTGGTGCACATTCCACACGTGCGCACTGTGGGCCCCATGAGTTGGCTGGTAAGCAGGACAGGTTGCAAAAACACCCGGCAGGCTGGACAAATGTCCTCCGCGGGCCGCAGTTTGAGGACGCCTGTTATAAAGTGTTCAAGGACCTTTGTCTTAGATAAAGATAGCTGTGAGGAAAACAATTGCTTTATTCTACTGTATTCTGCTTGATTTACTATTCTTAAGCAATAAATAACCATGACGTGAGATGCTTATAGTATTACCTGGAGAATTTGATGGATTTTCCCCAATGTGCCCTGGTGCTCATTACTCCCCTTGCCTCTTCCTTTTTTTGCCTCCTTGGATTGAAGAGACCTCCATGAGTGGCAAAATTTCTGACCAGACACACTATCAAACAGGTGCAGCCTCTTGAAGCACCAGCAACATCGGTGCAGGAGATCGTAAACAGATCAGCCAAGCGCATGCTCCACTAATGGCCAATCAATAGCTTACACTTGTTAAAATATAAAGCCCGTTCCTGTCATCAAGCGTCATAAAATGGTAGCCCTACTCTGTCTATGGGCTACGCTCTAAGATAGTATATACTTTACAAAAGTTTTCTTCTTTTAAAACAATTTTCTTGGGGAATTAAACAACATGTTGTATTAATGTCTTTAGCTCATGAAGTTGTTTTGTGAACTTAGTGAAGCTGGCAATAAGAGAGAACAATGCAAAGCTGGGAGATGGTTGTTGCCCTTATGCATTTTAGCATCCTCAAGGCGGACCTAATAAATATTCAGCAAGTGGTGAGCTGGTCCAGCCCCACTTGCGTCCTTTGCATAGCCACGCCAGCTACTCTTTCGCAAACAGTTTCACTTGGTAATTTCCAAACGTTCTGGCTGCACTCTGCACCTGCCAGTATTGCAGTAATTAGCTTAGGATGCAAAATGATTTCTAAATTAAGCTTCTGGACTTGTAAAATCAAGACAGCCTGATAATCAACAACGTAGTCCTGGTAGCCAATGAATAACGGGATAAATAACTAGGACAAGTCTTTTAACTGTCCTATGTGGGGATAATGCCTGAGGAGCAAATTAGATGCCTATACAGCACGCAGGTGAAATACAGTATAGGTCAGCAATGGAAGGTAAACAAGAGGGTCAGTGCTTAATTATTTAAACTCGCTCCCTTTCTCCTGCCGTCTACACGCAGCAGGAAGGTCTAGAGGTTGGGCGATTTGGGGCAAGCACAACTGGAGTGACACTTTACCCGGGTAAAACCTCAAACGTACAGGCTGCTAAGATACCTGGGCATCGTGCCCTGGAGACGCCGGAGGGTCCTGGGAGCCGGGGAAGGGGCAGAGCCCGCTCCGCACCCGGGCTCCTGGCGTCCAGGAGGAACTGCGACCCCAGGCAGCAGAGAGTGCGGAGGGAGAGGAGGAGGCCGAGCGAGGAGCGGAAGAAGAGGAGGAGAATAAAGAGGCGGAGGAGGGCGCGAGGGAGGAGAGCCGGGCGCAGGAAGGGGAGGAAAAGGGAGGAAAAGAAAAAGGCGGCGGAGAAGAACGGGCCCGCCCCTCCCGGCTTCCTCCTCCGCTGCCTCTCGGGCCGGCCCTCCGCGGGCCGCCGCCGCCGCCTCCCGGTCCCCAGCTGCTCCGAAAACGCGGAGGCGCCGACTCCTCCAGCCCCGCGTCTGCCCGGCGCGCGCCGCCGCGCGCCCCGGCCCGCGCGCCGCACTCGGGCACGCGCGGCCTGCCTCGGGGCATGCGCGGTGGGCGGCGCCGCTCCGGGCCGCCTCTGCCGCCGCGAGTAGGAAGCGCGAGCGCCGGGCGCCGGGCTGTCAGTGAGCGTGGGGCCAGCGAGCGAGCGAGCGGCTCCGGCTCCCGCTCCCGCTCCGCGCCGCGCCGGACCCACTTCCCGGCCGCCGCGCGCCGCCGCCTCGCAGCGACCCCGCCGCCGGCCCGCGGCCCCGGGTCGCCGCGGCCCTGCTGCCCTCCCCCGCCCACCCCGGCCCTCCCCGGCTGCTGCTCCCCGGCGGAGGCGAGAGGTGGCTGGGGGGACCATGGCTGACGTTTTCCCGGCCAACGACTCCACGGCGTCTCAGGACGTGGCCAACCGCTTCGCCCGCAAAGGGGCGCTGAGGCAGAAGAACGTGCACGAGGTGAAAAACCACAAATTCATCGCCCGCTTCTTCAAGCAGCCCACCTTCTGCAGCCACTGCACCGACTTCATCTGGTAGGTGCGCGCGGGGCCGGCGCTCGGACGGGCACCCCGGGACCCTCTCGCGGCGCCCGGGTCCGGGGACCAGTTCTCCCCGAGTCCCAGGTCCCGTCTCCCCGGCGACCCGCGCTCGGGCCCCCCCGAGTCCAGGCGCGTCCACTCCGGGGCTGACTCACTCGGAGAACTTGGAGCCGGCGGGAGTCCCAACTCTCGCCCGGGATGACACGCGCGCGCCCGGCCGCCCGGGCCACGGACGCACACGCGGGCAGCGCTCCCGGGGCGGTCGCCGCCCCGCCACACGCCCCCTGCCGCGGGAGGGAGGCCGGCCCGGCGCAGTGGTGACAGGGAGCCGCTCCGCCGGCCGGGGCCCCTCGCCTCCCCGGGCGCACCGCCCTCGTGTGCACAGCGGAGCGGCCGTTTGCCCGGGTGTGAGCGAAAGGGAAAGAGAAAAAGGAGAGTCCGGAGGCGCAGAGTTCCCCGGAGAAGCACGCCCGGGAGTAACGGGGGAGCGGCGGCGGCGGCGGCTGCGCTGCGCGCGGTCCGAGTTGTCGGAGAGCCAGGCTGGGCGCGTGCGGGGGGTGTGTGCGCTTCCCAGCGGGCTGGGGCTCCGCTGCAACCCTGGGTCCCTGCCTACTGTAGCCCGTATCTCCTGGGCTTGGAGAGACTTTGACTTTTCTGGGCGAGGAGGGAGAGAGAGGGAGGGAGAGAGAGAAGGCAACAAACTGTTGAAAGCTTGCAGTGGGGGAGGAGGGATTAAGACTGGGCAGGCAAGTGGCAGAAGGGCAGAGGGAGTCATTTAAAATAGACCCTGTCAACACGACACTAGACCTGTAACCCTGTTGATGAGGACAGAGGCCTTATTTAAGAAAAATACTGTAATGGCTCAAGGTGTCGAAGTTTAGGTAATTTCCAGTGAACGCTGGCATTCTTAACTGGAGAGGGGGGACTTGTGGGGTTTGTGGGAATTGATAAATGGCAAGGGCTTCAGGGGTCTTTGAACCTTGTAAAACCAGGTGAAATTGTTTGTTGCCGCGCCCCCCCTCCCCCGTGAGAGAATTATAGCTTTCACCTGATTCTCAAAAGATGGGAGAACCACCCCTCCCACTGCCCCCCCCCAAAAAAAAGTTTAGAAAGCTGGAACTAAAGGAACTCCAGGTCCTCCAGTTTGAGGAGCAGCAGTTTTCTCTCCTAGGTTGCCAGACACCCTGACCGTTCTGCCTCTTGTTTTGTGGGTGTGGGAAGGTCTTTCCAAGCCAGAGTTGTGGCTAGGGCTTCTCGGCTCCCTCCTCTCTCTCATGTGGGGAGCTGCACAGGGCGAGCGTGCCGCAGAGTGCACTCTGCCTGCAGCCAGCTATGTGGCACGTGCATCTTGGGGCACTAGGGTAAACATATTACTGACGGCTCTTTCTGAATCTATCACATATGGGGAAAAAACATCTCAAAGGGCGAGTCCCAGGAACATGGTGCTAATAATTAACAAAGGTTCAATTTTTCCTTTCGTTTTTAGACATCCTCCCCAAAATACACTTACTAACGACACAGCCACCTCCATGAATGATACCCACTGTGTGGTCAGCGTATGGAGCAGTTGTGCTCTAAGGAGTAGGTAATCTTAGATGAGGCTGCTTAAAAATAAGTTTTTGGAGCCTCAGGGCAAGGAGAGGATATTGCATTTGGTTTAGGGGGAGGTCTTTCAGCATCCATTATCAGCTGTAAGATTCTGTGAAAAGGGAACAGACTGCTGATGACTTTTGCAGGAAGTAGGTGAGTTAGAAAAGGCATTTGCAGGCACACCCAGGCTGATGTCTTTCCACTATCAGTTGCTCTGAAGGATCAGCCCCTGGTGAGCTAATGAGGCACTCAGGTCATCAGGGGTATTGTGAAGTGGAAAATAAAGGTCTCCCTCTCCCTGCGCCCCAGTATACCTGCAGCCTTTCTCCACTTAATTATATAGCAACCACTTAGGAGTCCCAGGAAAACATCCGCCAGGATTGTCTTGCAGTAGCTTTAATTTTTCACTCTTTTTTATTATGTATTGCTTCTATGGGTCCTTGATTTGCAAATTTCAGTATTAAAGCACTGATATTTTAAAGATGAATGTTTGGATTTAGGTATGGTTTTGAGGGGGTGAATGACTCTAAGTTAATTATAAAGGTATGTGAAGTACTTCGTAAATTTAAAATGCTGTGTAAAGCTAGAGATTATGACTCTCAACCTTTTGGAGAAAATTTTAATGCAGTTCATTGTAGTGGAACAATATTTGCAATTGAATGTCCATGTCAGGGTTCTCTGCTTACAGAGTAAGTTCTCTAAAGTCATTTACAAGAACAAAATAGCCTCTGTATGTGCTTTGAACTCTATCGGCTCTCAATAAAAATTAGATCATGATAATCTCAAATGCAAACAGTGGGAATGATACTTCATAAAATCCAGTTTCTTAAGCCAAAATTAAATGTTAAGAGTGGTGCTGTTTGGTAGTTTCTAGACACATAATATTTTAAGCAAACTCATAACAAATAAGCCGCTTTTTTGTCTTTAGGGAGAAAAAACAATCTCCAGTTGGTCTTTAGGAGCAAAATTAAGCCACTTTATTTTTAACTATAAGCTTCTTTTTGTTACTTGAATATTATAGCCGACAGCTTTCAATATACAATCAGGTTCTTGTCTTGAAATTTAAGTATCCTTAACATAGTGTTAAAAAGGGAAAGAAGCTTGATACATTGAAATAGTTCAGTGATTTTTTTTTTTTTTTCTATAGGCAAAATAGATTTTTTTCAAAGTTGAATTTACACTGTAATCTGGGTAGATATTTAGGCATGTTTTTCCTATCAAATCATTGGGTTTCATGTACAAATCTTTAACTCTGTAGAGTACTGTGTCACATAAGTTGCTTAAAATATGATATCCAACACAATATGTTAAGATACTTTGTTCTTTCTGTTTTTCAGGGGGTTTGGGAAACAAGGCTTCCAGTGCCAAGGTAAGCTGCCTCGTTGGATTTTATTTCAAGTATGACATGAAATGAGCATTCCAAACAGGAAGAGTATTTCCAGTCATCTTTTCTTTGTTATCCAAAAAATGTTATTTAGATAATATTTTCAAAATACGAGGGCTGTAAATTTGGGCCTTTTAAAAAATCATATGGTATTGCCTACTAATCTGCATATAGAGCTGCCTTTTTCTCATTGAAAAAAAAAAAAAAACCTTCCTGTAATTTTATTTTTTGCCAAGAACATTCTTGTCAGAAACTGCTGTCTTTGTGTGGGCGTTGAGAAAAAAAAATGGAATTACTTTGTATTCATGTGGCTTTTCTTTCTGGTTCTTTCTTTGTTTTTGTTCATCTCTTACCTATGTATTGGGTTGGACTCATTGCAACTAATTTTAGGTCCTGTTTCATTCTAGTAATATTTTTGGTTTTGTTTAGATTACCAACTGTCATCTAGAACAAAGTTTGCACATTTTAAAGTCATGTCAATGATTTGATGACTGATTGTTACAATATGACAGTGTGGCACAGTTTTTCCTTTAGTTTCGATATCTAACAACACATGGAATACTAGGCATTACATCCAGAAAGAAATCCATTAGTTTCCCCCTCTGTCCTCTAGTTGCATTTTGTACACATCAAATATCTAACTTTTCATACTTTCCATTCTATTTATTCAACTTTTTTTTCCTAAACACTTTATAGCTTGTGAAAGCATCATAGGTTCATGAGCTCACTTGCCTTGTTCTCCTGCTCATCATCTATATTGTGTTTATATAGTTCTGGCTACATTTCCCATCTGGGCATAGGTTTATTATTAGGGTAAATGGAAAATAAAGTATATTCTATCCTGGAAAATATTATCCTAACACTGTTTAATATTAAGCATATTAGAAACTATACTTTTTTTTTCCAACTTCGAAATTATGCTGGTAAGTTGATTACCTTTTAAAAACTTCAAATTTGTGAACTTGTTTCTTGACACTTTCTAAACATATTTCAGATGGGGGTATTTAATGGTATGATTATTCATTAATACTCTACCTTTTTTACTTCAAGATGTCCTTAAAACCCTTACTGAATAAATCATTTTGAGAGTTACATTTGGGAGTCAAGGGCTATTCCTTTTTAAAAGAGAATAAAGAGCAAGGCCTGTTGCACCAGTTTCCATAAAAGATGAAAAGGAAGAAATAGCTCTTGTTCTCGAGGTTGTGGGTCTGAACTTTGTAGGTGAGATTTGGGTTTAGGCTTGAACACGATGTTAGGAAGTTGAAAGATGTAAGATTCCGGGCCAATGTGATTCACATCTGTTATTTTTGTTAACGTTTTTGTTTTGGGTGGGGTCCTATCAACACTTGAAGAAAAATTATTTACTGTACTTTCTCAGTATTGTCCAGGAGAAAGTGAATGTTATTTTATTTTGATTCTTCAGCTGAAACAGCAGGTGATTCATTGTATACTTGTTACACTCGGCCACAACTGAGAACAGAACTAGTCCAGTATGTCAGGTTCAGGGCAAAGGACCAGTAGGGACTGTTCTGGTATGAGCAAGATGGTTCTCTCAGAGGTGGCCTTGGCGATCGGATGGCAGTGAAGTTCTAGATCCACTGAGAGGCAAGTTCTAGACGGTAGCATGCAGTCCAGCAACTTGTGCTAGCGTCCCCGGACTCTGGCATTCCATGTTTCTGATCTTGTGGCCTTCACGTGTGCACAAGAAAGTGGTTTACTTGGACCTCTGCCTCATCGTTCTTCTTTTGCGCTTCAGCCTGCGCCTTCCCTTCTTCCTCCACTTGGCTGTCATGGCGTGGAGGTTTCTACAAAGATGGCGAGAGCATGAATGTTATTTTAAAACGGTATCATTTGCTCTTGAAATTCTAGAATTAGAAGAAAAATAAAAAAAAAAATAAAACGGTATCATTTTCTGCATAGAAATAATTCAGAATAGAATTGGTCCCTCTTAGCCTTGCTCATCTGAGCAGGTTTTGTTGGGATAGAGTGGCCATTTTACTAGGTTACAAGGGGGTTGTGCATGGTTTTTTCCCAGAAAGCGTCTCTTGAACTTTAGTGGCTTAGCAGGTTAATAGTTTCACATCGTCGTAAGTCCCTTTTACCTAAACTATTAATATTAAAAGTGAAACTCAAAAAATTTTAAACTGTATAAAATAAAAAGTGAAACTGTATATCCTTCTCTCTCTTCCCACCACCGTGGATGACTTCTGTTTAAGATATCCATCCATTCACTCACTCATGCATACTTAGTTTTTAAAAAGATCAAAATTTTGCATCATTCTGCAGCATGCTTTTTTCCTCTTAGCAGTGTGTGATAGTTATCCTTCCATGTCAAAACATCAGTTCTGCTTTATTCTTTAGTGGCTGTGTGTGTAGATATATCCAGTTTATTCACCCATTCCTCTACTGGTGGGTATTTTAATTGTTACTAAGTTCTTACTAGTACAAATACCTCTGACAGCATCCTCAGGCACTAATATAAGTATTTCCACAACAGATACCTAGAAGTGTGTGTGTATGTTTAAAATTTTAATGAGTGCTGCTAAGTTGCTCTCCAGAGGGGTTCCAGTTCACATTTTCAGTATTAATATATGAACGTTCCCCTTTCCCTTCACTCTTACTAGTGAAAGATATTGGGTAACATAAATCTTTCATGTTTCTCACTAATCTGGGAGGCGAAAGGGGGCCTCTGTTTTCAATTTCCATCTCCTCGGTTATTGGTGAGGTCGAACATTTTTTCAAATGTGTTTTAGCCATTTGTATTTTTTCTGTGATTTGCCTTACTTTACCTAATATTTGAAATTCAAGATTTACAAACCAGTCAAATGAGAGAAGTGACTATGTGCTTTATACAGTTATTTGCTTTTGTGAAGAATTTAACCTCAGATCTCTTTAATGAATTACCCTGGTGCACTTACAAATTTTAATTCACAGAAACCTTTATAAGTAGTATTTTTTTGTAACATGCTGGCTGCTTGTTACATTTTGTTTAGTATGTATCATCTGTATTTGCTTTCTGGTAGGCAAATGCTAATCCATTATATCTTATTTGTTGTAACTTAATTAAGAAGGATATGTTAGCTTAGGACAGTGCTTTTAATTTCACAAATACAGTTACCCAGTGTTTTCTATTTTGGTTCTCTCCTGAAAATTTATCTTTCTCTTAACATCTGACCATTTTAGAATATTTAAGTTTTCTTTTATTCTCTAAACTTTGTTTTTTCTCTTGGTTCTGTTTGATAGTGTCATTCAGGAGTATAACTCATTCTCATCTGTGCCTTTGGCAACGCTCCTTCTGGAAATGGCAGCTGGAATTTGAAACTCCTTTTTGTATTTTTTTATACATCAGAGTTCTCTTACCTTATGAAGCAGCGTTTTCTAGCCACTAGTATGTAGTGTGTTGCTTTGGTCAGTAGATAAAATATACTTGCTACATATTTTTTTCCTTTTCTCAAACTGGAGGTACATATGCTCCAAGTGAGTGTCACGTATTAATGTAGTTAGTAATATAGATTTAGATCTAAAATATTTGTGATCATTTTACTTAGTGATACGTAGGTATTAGAACACTGAAGAAGTAAGTGAATTTTAATCGTTAAGACTGGGTTTGTAATCTATGCCATTTAGAAAGCATCATATTTTACAGACATGTGAGACACTAAGATTATGTCCCTCTTCTTTCTTTCCCCAAGATACAACATAAATGGAAGCAGGAATCTTTTCCGGAGAGAGATTTGTTGGGTTATTCCCACTTTGCCTTTGTGGACTCTATGCCATTCTTATGTATACTGCAGTATTAGGTTTACAGCCCTGAAAAACCGATATTACCAGGGCAAGTAATGCAGGAGGATCCTGTAGTGACAATTTGCTGCCCAAAATGATGAAACCAAGGGTCTTAAATGCTGGAAAGGAGAAAGTATATGGTAGATCTAGAATTGTGAAATATTTCTCTTGAGGTCCTTGGAGGTAAAGACAAGCTTGACTCTTTGCAGCTCTGAAGTTATCCTTGGTGTACATAACTTGGGTTTGCCTTCCGGTTTTCTGTTTAATGTTGTATTTTGCATGATGTACTCACTGTTCATTTCATTTCCATGAGAACTAGTCCTTGCCCACATTTGTTTTTTTCAGAGAAAGAAAAAGGGAGAAGTAGATTTGTGTGGCCTGGACATTGAGGAAGTGGTTTCCAGTCTGGAAGGCCGGTTTCCAGTCTGGAAGGCCTGTTTCCAGCTGGTAGTTTGTCCTGCACTGGCTGCTTCCAAAAGCATCATAGAACAGAGAGATCCACTGTTTTGCTCAAATGTTCTCCTTCTTTGGGGCAGTAGAACTGAAACAGTGTTATCTGCTACTTTCACTACTGGAAAAGGGAATGAGCCAACTCAGTTTTTTTTTTTTTTTTCCTTCCTTAGACTGAGCAACACCCTGCACTTCTCTAGTTACAGTGGTAGAAACAGCCTCTCAAAATGTGACCTGCTTATTTGAAGTGCCTGACAGTTTGTTACATCTGGCTAACCTCTGCTTGTTTTCCCTGATTTTTTTCCCTCTATTTCTCTTTTAACATCACAAATTAAAATGTACTACTAACCCAGGCTCTAAGATACCCTAAAGAGAGAGCAGGAGAATTAGTTCCTGCCAATAACCGTGATCAACAGGACCTGTTGGATTTGAATGATCATCACTGGATTTTGAGGGATCTGCAGAGAACGAATTGACATTTCCGTGCTTTCAATAATGCCACTGTGAAGAGGTTTTGAATCTTGTCATTTCCCTGCTGAGAACATACCACTATTGCACTTCACCTATGACTCCAATTGAAGCTGTGCATTTTTCAGTAGTTAAGGGTTAAAAAATCAGCTTCTCTTCCCCTTTGCTGATGACATTTCATTTTTAAGGCCTATTTCAGGGTAGATATTTCCATCAGCTCGACTGAGCCTGGTGGTGTTTTGAATTCCTTTTATAATAGTAAAGGTTGGTGTTTGAGGGAAGAA